TGCTGTCCCGCCCTAACCCACTGAGCTGGAATTTTCCTCTGGCTGAGGGGTGTCCCAGCCTTCACTGAAGGGCAGAGCTTGCTTCTTGCCTGCACTGCAGGGCTCCTGGTCTTTGCCTCCTTCCTGTCTGAACACATGAAAGGGGAGTGTTAACAAAGAGCTGGTCTCAGAGGCGAAGCAGAAGGGCCAGGGAGGCTGCCTCTGAGTGCTGCCAGTAGCCCTGCTTCCTCTTACTCACTTGCCTGTGGGCTCCGGCCTTTCCCTGCCAAGTCTGACCCATCCACCAACTGTGGCAGAAGCGCCTTTGGCTCTCTTTTGATTCCTCTCAGCTTTTGTTTTTAAAACCAAGCCCCTAGGTATCAGGTTCCAGGTCTGAACAGGAGGAGGAAAGCAGCACAGAGTCCAAATCTTTGCTTTCTGCTCATTTCCACTTCCCAACCTTTCAGCCGAAGAGGCACACACAGTCCAAGAGGCTTGGCTGCCTTCATGATCTGGTGCTTTTATAAATGTCCCCAATTCTTGTAAAACACAGGAGGAAAAGGAGCAGGAGGGTCATGGGATCCAGCAGAGGGCATAATGGTTACTTCGCTGAACTCCCACGCAGTTGACTGCAGTTTGAGTCCTAGACCTGGCGGCTTAAAATATGCTGGGCATATGTGCATGAGTGCCCAAAATCCCGAGAGGAGAATGGAAGATAAGAGATTGTGGTGTGGCCATCCCCCGGGGATGATTTTTCATTTTCTGTCTCTGTCTTTGTCTCTCCAGCAAGCACACACATACTATACCAAGTCTCTTTCTCAAAAAAGCCCACAGCTTGGGACCAGCAGTTGGCATAATGGCTATGTTGCTGGACTCCCACATAGTCGACCACGGTTTGAGTCCCGAACGTGGTGGCTCAAACTCATGCCAGGCATGTGTGCGTGCATACCCAAGATACCAAGAGGAGAATGGAGGAGAAGGGATCGCATTGTGGCCATCCCCGCTGGGAGGTGATTTTTCGCTTTGTGTCTCTCTGTCTCTGTCTTTCTGGTGAGCGCATGTGCCCTATAGCAAAAACCTCTCTAAAAATAAAAACACAGCTTTATAATGAATTTATCTCCAGAATAATGCAGTAATGCCACTTTTCCCTCTCTGATATTCGATTTTTCTACTCATCCTGTAAACTTCCCTCCACCCCTTCTGCAGGCTGATGTACATCTTTTCTGTCAGTGGATTGGAACTCTGATAGCCAATGAGTTCTTTTGGTGTCTCTGAAATATTGACATCATCTAAATAATTATAATAGTAATATATTAAATTCAAATGGTTCTGACACTTTAAATAATTTTTCCACATACATAATAAATTATACTAGTAAATTTTTTCATACACAGTATCACATTTAGTGCTACTGAATAATGGTATGATTGGGTTTTTAGAGTCGATGTGGCCCTGTTTGACCTATTCCAGCCCCTAGGGTTGTTTAATAGATCCAGTAATATTCGGTCTCTTTTGTTAGAGTCATGGGATATGGATGTAAATAGGGACTTAAAAGCTAGTGTCAGAAGACTCTTTAATTCCTCTGAGGCACTCTTCCTACTGAGACTAAGAATACCACACATGTATCCAGTCACCTCCTGGGAATGAGCCAAGTTTATCTGAAGCTCTTCTTCATCACCCAGATGCTTTATAGATCTGTGTGGTTGGGGCTGTGACCTCATTCTCTAAGGCAGAAAAAACTGCCATAGGAAATGGAATCCTGCCTCTAATTGGTTAATTATAAAGGAACCCTGCAGCAGAGAGTAACCCTGCCCTCTGAATCAAGGATTTACTCTATCCACCCTTGGCTCTCTTCTCAATCCATGTGCCACTATGCATAATTATGCATGACAGAATTGTCTTCTGCCACGTTTTCTACCTACAGTCCTGGCCTCAGCGTGCCTAGCAATAACTCAGAAAATCGATCCACATCAGTACTGTCAGTGCATGGTTCATTTGCACGTGAACCATCCGCAAGTTTTACTTGCTGCTACATTCTGTAGCTCACCATGCTATCATCCCCTGTCTCCTGTGTTCTGGGCTTGGCCAGGCTTTCTATAGCTCACAATTTGCTTATTCCGCAACTGCCTCCAAGCTACTTGTTTTCTCTGCCATTTGGTACTGGTGTAGCATATGAATGTTGTCTTTGGTTAGTGTGCCACCGCGAATTTCTTCAAGTGTTTTTCCAAAGGCTGAACTTTCTTTTAAACAGATTCTGGGGCTTGTATTGGAAGAATTTGATAGCCCTGAGATTATAATATGGTTTGCCCAATAAGTGTTCTTTCACTTAGCTATTCAGTCATTTATTGATTAGAAGAAGGAATGGATAAAATAATTGAAAAGCACCCAGTTCCTCTTTCCAGGGAATTTATTGGGAAAGACAATGTGTACTGAAAAAAAGTGATAGGCTGTTTAATGTGATAAATGTTATAAAAAGGGTAGAGTGTGTGGGAAATCATAGAAGTAGCTTTTAGTTAATGTGTCATAAAATGGACCAGACACTGACTAACCCATCTGCTCCTTGAGGCCAGATTTTTTTCCTGTTCGTTTGGTGTATGGATGCAGTCGCCCACCACATACTTGCCGAATTACTGTGTTTTACCTGGTACTGTGCCAGGCTCTGGAAATAGAAGTCAAATAACATAGAGTCTATGCCCCAGTGGAGCTCACAGACCAATGAAGATAAAGAAAGTAAATGTTCACTGTATTATACTGGGGAAAATTTTGGTGATACAGAAATCTTGCTTGTGGAGAAGCATGAACCTATGCCTGGCTATGGTGTGAATGGTCTGAGAAGCTGAAAGGTATGGCAACGATTTATAAAAATTGTGAAAATCGGTCAGTAGGAGACCAGCAGTTGGCATAATGGCTATGTCGCTGGATTCCCGGGTAGTTGACCATGGTTCGAGTCCCGGACCCAGTAGCTTAAACACATGCCAGGCGCCTGTGCATGCGCATCTAAGATCCCGAGAGGAGAATGGAGGAGAAGGGATTGCGGCGTGGCCATCCCCCTTGGGGGGTGATTTCTCGCTTTCTGTCTTTCTGTCTCTCTCTCTCTGTCTTTCTGGCAAACGCATGTGCCCTATAGCAAAAAAAAAAAAAAAAAAAAGCTCTCCAAAAAAAAAAAAAAAAAGTCAGTAGAAATTGAGGGCCAGACGGTGGCAATGCTCTGTCAGACTGACCCACAGGGTCTGGTTCTGAATTTGTATCTGGAGACCTTCCTGGGTACATCAGGCACGCACATGCCCATAACCCAGTGTTGGCTGAGATGAGAGTGGATCACAGTGGCAAGACCCTATTGGGAGTGTTGTCTCTCTGTTTCTGTCTCTCTGTCCCTTTTACCCATGGGAAAAAAATTAAAACTAAAAAGGAAATCAGTCTGAGCCTTAACTTTTTGAACATATGACCTGGCACACTTTCCCGATCAGTTTCCCTCCAAGTAGAAAAGTAGAAATTAAATCCCACATTAAGATTCAGCTGCTTGGCGGTTCCTGGAAACTACAGGAAGGGCCTTTGTCTGGTCTCATTCCCAGAAGGCGGGTACCTAGGGTGAGCAAGGAAGGGGACTGGCAGGTGGAGCAGCTGCAGCGAACGTCTCTGTCAGTGCTTCATGCCGTCTGTGGAGCAGCACTGGCAACAGGGCCCAACTAGAGGCTTTTGGACATTTTCACAATGAATTCCTCTGTGCTTTGCTCCAGAAATTAAAGGCCTGTTAAACCCTTAATGTGACAAAGCACCACACCTCTCAACCTCTTTTTTTTAATCCAGACTGATTTCTCCACTCCCCCCCAGGCTCCTTGGCTTTGTTCTCAC